CTACCAAGCTTCAGAATTATTTCTCCATAACGGTCCAGCATAGATGCAACATGATCCAATAATAACAATCTAACTTCATCCAGTTTATAATTCCCCTTACGCTAGCCCATTTTCAACAGATGTTTTTGGAAACTCTATCCTCATTCCAGCATTCATAGTATGCAGTCAATATAATGCTGAGGTTTGGTCTGTGTGGCACAAGGCTTCCACAGCATCCTTATCTAGTACTGGTGTAATACAACTGCAAACAAGGGCCAATGTTGAGGAAAGCATTTTGAATAAGCTACCAGCTTAAATCGGAAGAATTGCAATATTAAATCACTAGATATTCCAATCAGGTTTGTATGTCATGATGATGATCAGACAGTGCCACCTATCTATCAAGCTTGGTTTTTAAGCTGAACCTTCAAGCAGGCTCAATTAATTTTGGAAACTTTTTTGCCATCACCAATCTTCAGTACTTAAGACTTGGATTTTTATGTTTCATATATATTTGTCTCAACTGCAAGCACTACTTTATGTTCATCGAGTCCTTTAAAATAATTCTGAACAGCATTAGATGGCTGCAAATCATAGGGGGGGTTGCAGACTGCCAGAAATAGTGCAAATTGAGTCCACTTTTAGGGTTAAGGTTAGGGTTAGGGTTAGGGAATCATGGGAAATGTATTTTATTGTGGCACCAGAGCTCTCTGACAGAGAAGGCTCAATGTCTCAGGAAAAAAAAAACAATTCCCATGACTCCCTAGCACTAACCCTAACCCTAAAAGTGGACTCAATTTGCACTATTTCTGACAGTCTGCAATCCCCTTTAGTGAGACTAAATCCAGTGAACATGGTCCAGGGCATATATATTGGAAACGAAGGAGAAAATCAACCTGTTTTCCCAGCCAAGAGAACCTTCCAAAATATTATGTTAATCTGAAAACAAATAATTTAAAAATAAAACACCAATGAGAGAAATTGAAAGAAAGCAGCAGCAAAATGAGAATATTCATTGTAAGAGGATCGGCTGTGTGGCCAAAAATTAATAACCAATAAAGTGTGCATCAAGGCTTAGACTATGATCATTTTTGATAGATTTACTTATTCTTGTTGGCACAAAACTAGAAGAGAACTACATACCCAAAAAAATTCTCGATTTGGTAGGGACAGTGCCAATTAGTTCTATCTTCCCACTTTTTCAGCTGCTTATAAAATTACCTAGTTTCTCTTTCCTACTCCCACTTTCTTCCTTTGTTTTTAGCTTCCTCCAGTTGCTGCAAATTGCATTCAAAGTGCCAAAGTAGTTTGTATTCAACTAAGTAGACGTCAGACGAGAGGAAGGGGCAGAATCTTGCCCTTCCTGGTAGGCTCAAGCAAAAACCAACAACTGCCGCCTCTCCTGGCTGGTGTGTTTTTCATCAACAATGGTTGCCATTTTGACCATACTTTGATGTTGCTTGGCCACATATGTCCCAGTTTTCATCTGTGAAATGTTGGAGAGTAAGGAACCAACCTAAAACAATTTTGAGTTGAATCGCATAATAATCTTCTATAGATGATTAACTGTGAACCTACAGCTTCCTCAACACTGAGCATTCAGCAAAAAGTCACATGATTTGTCTGAAAACTGTGAAAATGGGGAATATATATCAGTTTTTAAGCACTTTATTTTCCAGACTTCTCTGGACTTTTCCATAGTTTTCTGTCAGGGTGATATCTAATTAAGAATTTAAATGAATGCCCTTGATTGTCATGCATAAACTTGATATTCATCATCCTTTCTTATATTGTTTTGCACCTCCAGCCATTTCTGGAGCTTGATCCCTCCCCCAATTTCAGATACAAATTCATGACTAGCCAAGAATAGCTAGCCAACAATAGCTAGTAGCTAATGAATTTCTGTTTAAAATTTAACTTTTTTTGAAAAAAAAGAAGTGAACAAAATGAAAGTTTTCAGCGCCCCTTCAGACTACAAATGGGCAGGGGAAAATTAATAATAATAATATTAATAATAATAATAATAATAATAATAATAATACTTTATTTTTATATCCCGCCTTTTGCTGTGGCAATCAAGGCGACTTACATATAAAATTAAATTTACCGGTAAATAAAACATGCCCAAAATAAACAATACTAAAGAATACTAATAAATAACAGTTAATCCCCTTTTTAAAATATATAAAATACAAAAATACAAAAATAAAAGCATCGGATTAAGTTGGATCACTCTGAGATGTGGAACTAAGTTTATCATCTCTGATTGCTTCCTCATATGGCCAACCTTGCTGAAAAGAGCACAATTTGCCAGCTGAACATAAGAGAACACTAACTGATGTTCAGAAAGCAGCATAAAGGGGGAATACAGAGCACTCCAGGGAAGACCTAAGAAATTTAATCCCAGGTGGAAGAGATTTAAGAAAATGGAACCAAAAGGAAAGGCTGAAATTAATAAGAGCCGTCTGGGCTAGGCCTCCTGCTAAGGAGAATGCAGTGGGACTCTCAAATACATTAGTATTTAAATGACTAGCATACTCCAGTAATAGTTAAAACACAAAAAAGAAGGAGCCAGCAGGGAAGGAGCAGTAATCTTTATTATTACCAAAATGCTAGCAATCATTTTCTTCAAAGACAGTCCACATAAGAAGGAGGCTCTCAATTTTTCTTCTGTTCTTTTCCCTCCAGGCTACCTTCCCATCTTACTCCATGACTTAAGACACACATAAAACAATGGCCAGAGATAGCCATCTTTAACCCATCCATAGCCAGAAAAATCTAGGGGCCACTCCCTCACATGCAATAAACAATTAATGTACAGAATTCACTATCATACACTAGCTTGGGGACCATTAGACAAATTTATGGCAGATGGGGGGGGGGGGAGCAGGGAAAGAGAAAGAGAGAACTATCAATAACCATTATCAGCCATGGTAACTAAACAGAACTGTTCACATACACAGTGAGTGTATGTTTGAATATTTTATTTATTAAGGCCAGAAATAATGCAGTTTGACACCACTTTAACTGTCATGGCTCCATCCTATGGAATCCTGGGATTTGTAGTTTGTTGTGGCACCAGAACTCTCTGACATAGGCGGCTAAATATCTCACAAAAATACAAATCCCAGATTTCATACCACTAGGCCATGGCAGTTAAAGCAGTGTCAAATTGCATTATTTCTGCAGTGCAGATTAGATTTACATTTCCTCCAAAGATACCACTCACATTTACTGCATCCACCACCACCACCACCCTCTCTCTCTCTCTCTCTATATATATATATATATATATATTCATATATATTCTCTTTCCCAATTCAGGACTCAAGCCAGCTTACAACAGTTACAATGAACACAGGCAAAATGAGTAATATATAACATGTATATTAAAAAAAAATCTGTAAAACCGTAAATCATTAAAAGGAAAGCAGCAAATAGAAAATCTAGCCTAGTGATGGAGAACCTTTTAATATTATTATTTCTTATACCCCACCTTTTGCCTTGGCAATCAAGGCAGCTTACAAGTACAAATACAGATTAAAAACATACATGCCATAAAACCGTAATACAATACCCCCTAAAAATTAAATACAATAATAAAAGCATAAAGAACAAAACAACATATGTTCTGGGACACCAATAGGAGTGTATAACAGAGATGTATATCAGGGAGAAGCACAGTTCATGTGGAGTAGTCTATTCTGGGAAGGCCTGCTGGAAGAGATCCTTCTTGATAGCCTTTTTAAAGGTATCCAAGTTGGTTATTTGATGGATCTCTTCCGGCAAGGTGTTCCACAATCTGGAAACGGCGCAGAAAATGTCCTTTGGGAGGTTACTGCTAATCTAGTTTTAATCGGTTGCAGTAAATTCCTCCCAGAGGACTTGAGGGTGCGGGGCAGAAGAAGGCGATCCCTTAGATAGGTTGGACCCAAAACATGTAGGGCTTTAAAGGTCATCACCAACACCTTATACTGTGCTCGGAAACCAATAGGCAGCCAGTGGAGAGATTTCAGAACAGGTGTAATATGATCAATCTTAGATTTCCCAGTGATCAATCTAGCTGCCATGTTTTGTACTAATTGTAGTTTCCCGGACTAGCTATAAGGGTAGCCCCATGTAGAGTGCGTGGCAGAAGTCGAGTCGTGAGGTTACCAGTGTATGTACCACAGTTTCTATGTCCCTTACTTCCAGGAAGGGGCACAGGTGGCGTTTCAACCGAAGCTGATAACAGACGCTCCTGATCTGTCATGTGAAGCGACGAGTCTAGGAGCACCCCCAAACTGCAAACACAGTCCTTAGCGGAAAGCATGACCCCCGTTCAGGACTGGAGATTGTGACCCAATACTTGGTTTGGGGGCCTCTACTGTAAGTACCTCCGTTTTGTCTGGATTCAGCTTGAGTCAGTTTTTCCTCATCCAGTCCATTACCACCTCGAGACATTGATTGAGGGAAGAACTGCCATCTGCCATCATGGCTGCTGACCGAGACATGGAGAAATATATTTGGGTGTCATCAGCATATTGATAATACCCTGCCCCATGTCTACGGATGATCTCCGCCAGTGGCTTCATATAGATATTAAACAGCATCGGGGACAGGATGGCATCCTGAGGGACAGCACATTTAAGCTCTGTTTTTGAAGAGGAAAAATTTTAGAAACCAAGTGCTTAAACTCAATGGCATTCCCACAACAGGTGCCGAGGTTGGGACTCCCAGGGGAAGGACCGCAGCTGAAGTCAGAGGTCCAAAACACCCTGAAGAAATAATCCAGTCTGAGATTACACTAACTGCCTTGGCTCAGTGCTAGGGAATCCTGGGAATTGTAGTTTATTGTGCAATAGAGCTCTCTGGCTAAATATCTCACCAACCTACACGTCCTAGGATCCCACAGCATTCAGTTAAAGCAGTGCTAAACTCGATTATTTCTGCAGTATGCATGCAGCCCTCACACCAGTGGCTGAATATTACTATTCTGTGGAGTTTGGATGTTAATGTACTTTGCTATATGAGCAATAAGAGCCAGCATGGTGTAGTGGTTTGAATGTTGGAACTATGGCTCAGGAGACCAAGGTTCAATTCCCTGCTTGGGCAAGAAATTCACTGGGTGACTTTGGGCAAGTCACACTCTCTTGGCCTCAGGGGATGTCAATGGCAACCCTTCTGAATAACTCTTGCTAATAAAATTCTGTAAGAGGTTTGTTGTTGTGTACACAGTTTAGTGTGTACATCTATACATGTTGCAAAATAGGACATATTATGAAAAAACTTTCAGGATAATGCATGCATATCAACCTGCAGGCTGAAAACCCATTAATTACAAGCTCAATGAAAATGGCTTGCAGAAATAATATCAAATCAGCCAGACAAAGTAGGCAATGTTGTCCAGATTGAACAATGATTTGATTATGCACAAGATACTATTCTGTGTTCATAGGTATCCAATTTATTCCCTCTTGTCATTTTAAGATTTACAAATGAAACCCTGTTCCTGTTGTATATTAGGCCAGTATTCAGACCAGGGTCGTCTCTGTGGTGGCACCTCATTCCCATTCCCAAGAGAAATCTATCAGGCCACTACTACTGGCACTGTCCACCAGTAACTTTTTTTTTTATTCTAGTGAGCATGTTTTTATTCTAGACAGCATTTAAATTTTTGGTAAGCAACAGGAAATATATCAAATAAGTTTTTAAAAAATCCCCATGGCAATGTGTGATGTGTTATAATTAAGTCTGAGATACCAGATAAGAGACCCAGCAATGCTCAGAAACATTCATATGATGAACCAAAACAAAAATTAAGGAAACTCCACCAGCATGAATGTTGTCAAAACCATGATAATTTTCCATTATACCCAGAACAGATTTGTCAAATTGGTGGGAATAATTTAAGAAATCTGTGTAACTCAAGTGTAGGTCTTCAATTTTCAACTAAATATACTTTAGCAAATTCCCATCACACAACAAAGTACTATTCCAAAATCATACCTTATATAAAGGACGCCGAACATCAATAGGGCAGTTCTGTATGACTTCATCAACAATGTCTGAAATCGATTCCATAAAGTCTGGATTGACAAACTAAAAATACACATATATATATATAAGGGAGGGTAGAAACAGGGATGATTAGTTTATTGTACACAGAAAGATGACATCTCTATCCACAGATTCAAACATCCGTCCATTCTTATGAGCTTATCTGCATAGCTGGGTTAAAGAGACAAAATCTTGGATTGTCTTAAGTCTATGACATCAAGAAACAAGTCAATTTCTATGCCATCTTAAAAACTAACAAGGTGCACTGTCATCAGCTTTGACAGTCAATAGCCAATTTCATCAGATATATCCCATTCCCAAAAGAACCCTCTGACTCTAGTAATAATCACTTTTTAGATCAAATCAAGTATGTGGCCTTCCAGATGTTGCCACAGGGCAACTCACACTATCCCTCACTGTGAGTTCTAGGATTGATGGGAAATTGCAATCAAGTAACCAAAACATTGCAAGATGCAATAGGAAATGTTTTTCCTCAGAATCACTTTAGTTATAATTAGTTATAACTGTAATGATTATACAATTATAACTGTTAAGATTTAGTTATAACTAAAGACTTTGAGGAAGGACGTTTTCTATTGCATCTTGCTATGATCTGGTCACTAGGTGGCGCTCCATCACAAGAAGTGCAGCTCTATTTCTTCCTACATTTACAACTTTTACTGTTATTATTAAGGTTGCAGCAGTAGCTTTGTTTCTTACCTCTGGATGAAAGAAGATTTCTGGCCCAAGAAACCTTTCATAACCAACGTCTATAATAAACTTATTGCTGTTGATTGCATTGATGCCCGTGTATTGCTTTATCCACTTTCGTGGCTCTATGTCATATTTGGCAAATTCTTTTACTATGTCAGGGCAAATGTAACAATATTTTTCCTGTGCAGAAATATAATGAAACGTATTTATTTTGTTGGGCTGATAGAACATGCCAAAACGAATAGTCAGCTCCAAGCTGTTACTGCAACATAGTTGGGGAATTGCAAACTGAGTTTACATTCAAGTTAGTGCCAATACTGTACCAGTTTACTTGGAAGAAGAAATAAGAATGCAAGTGGATAAAGAGGAGCAACAGAGTTTGAAGCAACCTCTCGTCTTTTTTAAAGTACGCTACTTGTGAGCAAAAGCACACTTGGGGCAGGGAGGATAAGGGCATTCCCTCCCCAGTAATAATTCTGCCACCAATTGAAACTTCTCTTTAGTCTCCACATTTCTAGCACAGCAGAGAGCGAGACAATTACACCCAGAACTATTATATTTGCTGTGTTTGCATTCCCTTGGTAATTTGCCAGCCCACTTTCTTTGGATGCCTAAACTGTGTTTCTATAAGCTCAAAAGAAGTTTTAAGTTACTTCAATACTAGACATTTGGACAATGAAAGAAAATTTAATGGGGGGGACAGAAGTCTAAAGGAGGCAATGCCTATCCACCCACTTCCCACAGCTATACCCCTGGGCACATGGCGCATGCTAAAAAGAACTCTTCTTCAACTGGTCTGCCAGATGAAGGAAAAAGAAGAGATAGCCCTATCCAACACAATAACATGAAAAACTCCAGTGCCAGAAGTTGTCATTTGAAAAATTATGCTGCTCAAATTAAGCACAGAATAAGGTTTTCATTCAATTGCACATCGCTCTTGTGAGTAAATATCATGAGCAGCATGGTTCCCCATAAACATAAACATACAAATGAATTGCTTGTATAGACTTATCACTAACAGCATGTGGCATTGTTTGTCCATGTTAGCATACCTGGGACAGATGGAACCAATGTCACTAAATCAAATGCTCTCTACTATGCCTGTTTTTGTCCCACTTGCTGATAAAACATGCTCTCTTTTTATTATTAAATTCCCTTTCAAGAAGAGCAAATGGATTGGTTGGAGACAAAATTGTGGATTCTATTACTCTATTGCAGGGACCGGCAACCTACGGCCCGGGGGCCGGTTAAGGCCCCAGACCCTGGACTTACCGGCCCAGGCCGAAGGTTGCCGCCGTCACCGCCGCTGCACGCCACCGGGGTGCGTTTTCAGCCACGCTCATCGCGGCTGCCATTTTGGAAGTCAAAATGGCGGTCGCGACGCGTTTGTGCATGTGCAATACTCTTGCGCATGCACAAACACGTCACGGCCACCATTTGGACTTCCAAAATGGCGGCCGCGACATGTGCCGTGGTGGCTGCGGCCGTGCGCGGTACGGCGGTGGCCGTGGTAGTGGCTGCGGCGGCAGCGTGCGTGGGGGGGTCGCGCACGGTGGAGGAGGGTGCGCGCACAAGCGCGCGCGCCACCATTCCCCCCCCTCGGCCAAGCCGAGAGGCAACCCTTTTGAGACCGGCCCAGGTCTCAAAAAGGTTGCCTGTCCCTGCTCTATTGCTTCAAGAAATAAAATAAGAGTTCTATGACATCTTAAATACTAACCAGGTGATCTCGCATTGTCTTGGACAGTCAGGAGCCAATTTCATCAGATGTATTCTATCCCTAAAAGAACCCACTGACTCAGCAATAGTCACTCTCTACATCTAAAGTACATGTGGGCAACTTGTGGCCTTCTTGATGTTGTCAAAGAGCAACTCATATGATCCCTCACTGTGGGTGCTAGGGTTGATGGGAAGTTGTCTTCCTGGAGGAAGACATTTACCAACAATGCTTTTGGGGCATTGAACTGATATAATAATATTGTTCATCTAGTACCAGGGTGGGTTCCACTTCTTTTTGCTTTCTAGGGAAACACCTAATATAGTCTACTTCCACAGCACATTGCTACAATCGATCACACCACTAGTGGGCAAAAGGAACCACAAGACTATACACAAAATGAGCATGCACTCCGTTATCCTAGTGCGTGGTCAGGGAGCAGTCATTCAGCTGTTGGCAGACTGCCGTGACCGCCAACCCTGTCTAGTGTAGCCAGTGGTGAGGGATGATGGGCCTCGGAATTGATGATGGGCCATGGTTGTATCCCATGGTTGCATCCCAATTGCAGAAATGACAAAAGGTAGCTGCTCTTGCTAAACCATTAGAGAAGATGGGACAGGGTTTGGAGGGGGGGTTACAGAACTCAACTGGGAAAGCATTGTTTCTAGAAAGTTCTCCTAGTTCAATGATTCACTGACAATCTCTTACAGCCTGGTTAGTTTCACAAATATGTTTACCTTTATGGCCTTAGCTGTCTCTAATGATTGTTCAGGAGGAATTCCCACCTCTCTCTCCCTTAGAAGTTGTTGAATGAAATATGTAATATCTCTACCTGCAATAGGAATATGTCTAATGCAGCTGCCAATTACATAGCCTTCTGCCTAGAAGGGGGGGAGAACACTTATTTAGACCATAGACCAATTAAAACAAATTCAGTATTTGCAACTTAGCCATCTCTGCAACTTAATATTTCTCTACTATATATTTAACACAGTTATGAGTTCTTCCTCTATCTAATAATTCTTGATGCAAAATACAAGTTGAACAAATCAAAAATAAAACCACAAACATAAGAATCTCTCAAACAACAGCAATCCTTCAGCTCCATAATGTCAATATAAAAATAGTGATGTTAAAATTAGGAGACAACATTCTATATGATTAAAATGTGAATAAAAAAACAAAAAACCTTAGCCTCCCTAGGAATTATAACACTATACAGTTGTCTCTCCCTTTTTGCGGACCTGGAATTCGCAGTCTTGCTCTTCGCAGGAAAGACAAAGGGCCATTAATAAAATGCTGGTGCAGGGCCCCACACTGACGCCTCAGGCATGCGCACACCTTTATTTTCTATGGGACTTGAATATGTGCAAGTTACCATTTTCATGAGTGAGTCCAGAACAGATCCCCTGCAAATTGGGAGGGACAACTGTACATGTCTAGTCAGAGTTAAGTATATCAATAGAATTTACTCTCAGCTATAGATACTCCCCCCCCCCCCATATTTTTTTTTTAATTTTTGTTAAGGACGTATATGCTGTGTGAAGGCCAATTCATACAAATCCTCTTGCAGGCTGATTTTTCTCCCCTGGCCTGATTGGTTTTGTTCCTATAACACATTCGTCTC